CTGTCAATATCGTTGGTGGATGAACCTCTATTAAATATTGCTCCTTGGCATTTAAATGTCTCTACTGTTTTTATACCTCTTTCAATTGTCTTGTCGTGAGATGAAGAGCCAAGGTTCAATGTTTTCATAAAGTTAATACTCAACCCACACTATTCATATGTCTTGACAAACTTTCTGGACATATAATTGACATTCTCTATCTCCTAGGATATGACTACTAGGTCATCAGCAAACATTAGGTTCATGTTCCATATATGTTATTACTATTAAAACAATCAGTGAATTTTGAAATGATGTGTTAATAATATAGGATTTCTTAAATTATTTTTGTTAAATATTGGTCCTGATATTTCAATAAGTTGAATTTTTCGCGTTTCCTGAAAAAATGTCGATGATGATGAGGGTTCACTTTGGAAATGAAGGACTCATATACACAAACCGTTAAATTATTTCAATATAAAAAATAATGTTATTTTTACTCTACAATCTCACTTCTTGTACTGGTGCTTTATTTATTTATTTTCTCACCCTATTCTGCAATTAGGGAGAAGGCAACGCGGAGGTTTATAGCAGTGAGATGTTTAAATCATCTTAGAGAAATTATACCAATAGCTGTGAACACAACCTGCTCTTTGTTATCCTTCACAATGGCTTCGACATAAAATTTTAGAGAAAAAAAAACTACTGACAATAGACCCTTATATTAAATTGCTTGCTAAATTTAAAAAAAAACTATACAATGGTTTATTATTTCCAAATAGTTTATATATCTAATATTTGTCACAATACATTCCTTACAACTTCTCTGAAATAAAAAATCACATAAAAATTGTATCCTTTGAATTTTTTTGTTAAGGAAATTAAACTATTCCATAAATAACATTCTTGCTTCCGACGAAATAAAATATTCCAGTTATGAAATATAAAAAATTAGTTGTATATTTTGTTTTTTTTGTATATAATTCGTACTTTTTTAATATATTCGACTTTGTATTCAAATATATACAAACAGTTAAAAACGCAATATCTCTGCACCAAGCAGTCCTACATAGATTTTTGGTTTTAACTTTTTAGGTAATTTTCTTATCTTTCAAATAAGCGTACACATAATGAAATATGTACTTTTTTGAGTAGTTGTAAATAAAGTTTTTCATAAGTCAATTGTCTACATCATGAGGGATCACGAATCAAACTACAACGAATAAAAACAAAATACCTGTACCCAAGCACTCTCACAAGGAAAACGGTAAATGTAAAACGGTTAATTGCGTGGTTTTTGAGTAATCGCAAAACAAAATAGAAAAATGGAAATCAAAAATTTTACCTGATGACAGCACTTTCCTTATCTAATAGCTTTAGGAAAATAATAAAACGGCCTATTAGTCACTCTACTAAACCTATTTTGAACAGACCGTTATTTTTCCATCTGCGTCTTGATCTGATTCTCTAGCGATAAGTAGACTAATAGTTAATTAATTTTAAACGAACATTTTATTCACCACGAAGACATAACTTTGATTGCTTAAACATATACAGGATATAACTTTATCTAGGGCACAGGTCATGGTATATTCGATTTCATCAGACATTTTTTTATCGCATAAAAAAATTGATTCTAAACAAAGTTTATGTTATGAAATCTTAACTTTTTTTACTCAGTTTTTAAGGTTAATATATATCGAACAATTTATTTATTTCTGCAGAATATGGTAAAATATTCCGTAATAACATCCAGGACAGAAAACAATACCAGGACCGTACTAAGGCAAATATTTCTTTATATGCCGTTGGGATTTCAAAAATTATAAAATCGAAAGCATTATTATTCCTTAATTTAATATTTTTTAAATATCATTTAATGCCATATCATGTCAGGATGTTCTTGCCGTGGTATTTTCTTGAAACTTGAAGTTCTGTAATTTCTGAAGTTTTATCTTTAAAAAAAAGGGAATGAGAAGAAAAAGAAATTGAGGACCGAAGTCGCTCTTTTCGGAATTATGAAAAGTATTCGACTGTTTATACAAACTGTACAGCCCATCAACCATAATTAGTACTTTTCAGATTTTTAAAATTTTAGTCTTAAGTTTTTTATCCATCCTTTATTCACTATATTAACTTCCTACATCTACAGTCTCCTACAGTTCAAATCAGATGTCCACTCCTAGAAAACAAGATCCCGTGTTTCCGACCTTTATATCCCTTCCCATAGAACTAGGATATTTGAATATTCCTTTATTGCCCGATCCACTGCCTTCTGGAATTCCTTGCCATCTGATATCCGCCATGCCTCTTCCTTGTCCTCATTTAAAAATCATCTCTACCAATTCCTTCTCACATCCCAAAATGACGTTATACAATGAAATAAATATTGCGAAACAGATTTTGACTGAGGTGAATGGTTGTTAAAATTGATTGAGTTTTAATTTTTAAAATGAACCCATGCTTACATTATTTTGTTTTGTTTTTTCATTTAAATAATGTATTTTTTTCAAAATCGTTAATTTTTACTTGCTTTAATATACTTTTACTGAGATATTGTATATTTACTTTAATATTGATTAATGTAATTTATGGCCAGATGTAATTTTTATTTTTTTGTTCATAACTGTCATTCATAAGGGACCTCGTCCCAGAATAAAGTTTACTTTCTATCTATCTATCTCACTGTTTTACATCACTTCCTTTCTCAATGGGATTTGTTGAATCTAACATATATAACACAAATACAGAAAAATTAGCATGATTGTATGAAAACAAATAATATATAATTATGAACGTAAGCAATATAAATAAGGAAATCAACATAAAAATAGATAGGAATAACTAATAATGAGTATAAATATAGACAATGTAAGTCATAGAGACACACTTTAGTCATAAATATACACTTATACAAATTATTAACTATTTATAAATACGCCCATTTGTTATTTACGCAGCTGTTTTCAGCGTGTGAGCCTAAATGAATATCCTACTAATCGTATGATCATTAATTAATAAATTATCATTGCAATTATGATAATATCTGAATATATTTAATGAAAAAGGAACGTCTCATCGCATTAGATATTTCAGTGCTTTGCCTAAACCCAAGACCCTTCATGGGTTGTAGTGGTACAGGTTTTTTTTTTTCTTATTATTAGCAAAGATAGGACCAATTGCAGGATTTTAGGCATTTGTGCATGGAAACTCGTTATCTGGTCTTTGGTTAATAACTCGAACTTCCAACTTCTCAATGAACATTCCAGGTGCTTTATTGAAAAATGGTGATATTGTCTAAAAAACTAAAATAAAAAAGATAAGAATAATCTTCGCTAAGTTCAAGAAACAATATTGTAAATTAGGCTTTATCCCAAAGCAAGAAAAATGTTGTGCTAGTGGACACAATGGATATTTTATAATGTATGAAGACATTATCATTTTAATTATGTATGTTTTAATATCAATTAATAAATATTGTACTTATCAGTTTCTTTTGTACAAATATTTGTAGTTTAATTATAATTTAATTCACAGGTTCTAATTTTATCTTATCAGCATTATCTAAAAAATAAATGAAAATATAATTTGGTAAAGTTATATAAAACCTCTTAGCAACCAAGGTTCCAACGCTTAAGTTCAGTGTCAAGGCTAATTCAAGGATATTAAAACAATCGAAACGAGAAAAGTAGCTTCTGTGTTAGGATTATCATAATATTGTTGACGGTTGCACTAATAAAATTTTATAATTATATAAAGAAAAAAATATTGCACATAATAATTTCGAAGGAAAAATAATAAAAGTTTGTGAAAAAAAAGTTTTGTAATAGTTTTTTATTCTCCTAATAACTAATAATGAAAACTGGTAAATTATGATGTTAGTGTTCATAGTTCTATAAAGTTTAACACTGTTAATAAAAAAATGATAAGGATGTGATATATCATGTAAATAATATTATACATAAAAAATATTTTATTATGGATCTAGAAAAGCCAATTAGAAATATTTAATTAATTATTTTGAAAATATTTTTACATAAACCTATCTTTTAGAAAACAACAATCCTTATTTTGGTTTATTAAATTATTTTGGGTGTAGAAACTATTAATTACTAATCTGTCATCATAAAATTTAAATTATTACATAATAATAAAAATTTAATATTGAAATCCACACGTTATTTCATTAATAATTAAATACTTTGTTTTTAGATGAATCCGTATTTAAAAATAATGACGTTATTTAATTTCAGAAATATATTTCTAAAAAGTATTATTTGAAGACTTGGATGCTTTCGTCATATTTTCGCTTCATCTTTCTACAGAGGATTTTCAACGGAAGAAATGCAGTAACTCGGGCAAAAGTTTTTTTTTTTTTAAATTACGTACTCCATAAAATTTACAGAATTTAAAATATACATCTCCGAAATATTAAAATGTTTGGTGTAAATAACTATATTTATATACATTGTAAATAAGTTGTGTATTGATTTTTGCAGAAAAAAAAATGAACAATGTGATATATTAACAATGAATTATTTTATTTCTTAAATCTGTTATATATATATATATATATATATATATAATTATTGTCATATACTGGCCTTTACTATTTGTATTTTGTCATGGAAAGAAACAATCTAGTCTTTCAGAATCACAATAAAAATTAAAAAATAGAACGTTTTCAAGTTAGGAGGTTCTAAGATGACCACATGCATAGTTAATAATTATAATTTTATTTTTCTCAATTTCTATTAAAATGAAATAAGAAAACAGTAGCCTCAGTTAAGTAATTATTAAGTATGAATATGTAACTTTTCAGGATAAATGTTTTAAATTATGTTAAATGTTAAAATAATCTTATGATTGCAGCATCTTATTACCATTTGTTTTGATGTTTCAACCATTTATCCATGACGTATAAGTTAACATTAAAAATCCAGTGGTAATTCTAACTTAATTATATATAAATAATCAGAAATACAGTTATAAAAAGTAATAAAATATATGAATTAACTAACCTGTTCGAGAGACATGATATAAGTGATGTGCCTGGACGCTGAGACAGACTGAATATGCCGCAACCAGGGCTGAGTATATCTACTTCAATTCCCCTCTCCCACCAATTTAGTTGGCAACACTGGAATAGCTATATCACAGGTATGTATATATATATATATATATATATATATATATATATATATATATATATATATATATATATATATATATTTCCACATACATACATAAACAGAAATATATATTGTATATCGTATTAATAACTAAATGTATGTATAAATTCATTGATTAAAACAAAATCCTACAGCGTAAATTTCGCTGTTGATATACATATTAAGATGCGTTTAGCCATTTCACAAACTATGGGACAAACAGATATATAAGTGGTTATTTCACTTTGCTAATATTTTTGTTTCTTGGTTTTGATATTTTCCGTCTGTTGTCGGTATGAAGAGGAATAAAACAAATAGTTTGGTTTGCAATAATGTCGCTGTTAAATTGTCTTACCCAAAGTTTGTGAAAATATTGAGCACACCTTTAACATATACTGTATGTCCAGTAGGTAAAGGGAATTTTTAAAGGTGTGATAGCAGACCTCGAGAGCAACAAATAATTTCATAGAAACCATGGCCCTATTTTCCGCAGAAAAGCAGGAAATATAAGTTTAGTGTTAATTGATAAAAGTAATTAATAAAAAATATTTACTTTAGGCAATTAACAATAATTTATAGTGAACAAGACAAAATGCACTTCAAATGGATGTAGAGTATGTCTTTGTTACATACATTTAAATTTTTTTTTCCGCCATTTTTTTTATCACCTTCCAGCTAAACTACAATTATCACACTTTAAAAAAAAGTCCTTTTTTCATTAAGATTCGAGTCCACTGTGGGGAACAGCAAAATTAACTAACATCAAACGCATCCAATCCTTCCAATCCAAAGTCCTTCGAACAATAGTCAATGCTCCTTTCTATGTAACCAACAAAACCCTACACCATGACCTTAATATCCCATTTGTCCTAGACCTTATCCCAGCAAAATTCTCCAAATTCCACCAGAACCTTACCCATCATCCAAATCCCTTTGCACAATCTCTATCCAGCACCATCCATCCATATAATCCTCCAAGGAGGTTAAAACGGCAGTGGCCCCGAGATCTTTTATAGTTTGTAAATATTGGAGTTCTGGCAATGGCCAGATTCTCCACTCATGACATGAGTGTATGTGGCTAAAGCACTCTTGCTCAATCTCCACTGGGTTTAGTCCTAGTGACGCGGTTGAGAGAGGAGTGCAGGGAACTCCTGGAGTCATACTTTTCCCTCCACAGTTGGAGGTACAAGTCTGGTTTCTGGTTCTCTCACCAAATTGTAAATATTGTATATAGGTATGTATGTGTTATTTTTATTTATTTATTTTTAGGTTATTTTATTCTTATTTATTGCATATATATTATTTTTCTGTATATTTTGTTTCGTTTATTGTACATAGAGTGTGAATGTGATCTGTGAACTATATTATAAATGTCCTATAGACAGATTGTAATATTTTTCAATAAATAAGTTGATTGTAAAAAAAAAAAAAAAAAAAAAAAATTTTCCATAATTTTTTTTTTCACAACTAGATGTGAACCTAACTTATATCGAAACCTCAACTTAATGGACAAAAAGCTTATGGAACATGCAAATTTTTCGATCAGTAGAGTAAATATAGTTTAGTTGAGGAATGATGAAACGAAAAACGAACAATCCATGATGTTATGAAACATAGAACTTAGTCTAGACCCTTAAAAGTTCCCTTATAATGATCTTAACAAAGACAAACTCTACTTGCATTTGAAGTGTATTTTGTTCTATTCACTATAAAATAATTGTTAATTACAAAAAGTAAATATTTTTTTAGTTGTCGCTTCCCATTAAACAAAACACATGACTTTTTTAAGAAAACATAAAGCCTAAATATCCTGCTTTTTTGCGTAAATATCAGACCATGATATATATGAGCTTAATTGTAGCTCTAGAGGTCTGTTGTCACCATTTTAAATATTCACCTTTATTACGGAATACTCTAATTATCTCTTAGTGGAATCGTTTGACACGAATTTCGCCAGTCCTCTTAACGAGAAATAATGGTATTATCGATTAAAAATTAATTCGAAATGCATTTCGAAATCAAAGATTTTTTTTAATGAGATATAGAGATTGATAAAGGAGTGAAATTAAAAAACAAAACAAAAAGCCTCTCAGTTACTTAAATACCAGGTAAATAGCCGATGTATCGCTAATTTAGACATTATCAGGAATAAAAACATAAAACCACAAAAAATGAAGAAGTTGAGTAGTACAATAAAAAGTACTAAGTAGATAAAATATATCGGAATAATTTGATATAGTACACATGTATGAATATTTATTACATATGAATTAAATTATTTATAATGTTATAAGGCCGTGAATTGACTGGGTTTGAGAGACCCTCCTGGGCTCACCCAGCCTCTACATACTGAGTATATAATTCATATCAGTCATAGGAAATTAAACATGTCTAACAGAAAATCATCAATCCGAAATTTACATATATCCCATTTTGACATTGGACTTGTCATGATTTACTCAACAAAATTAATTTAATTTTTTTTTACTTTTTTATTAAAAAAATAGTTTTAATAATTTTAAAGAAATAAAAAATACAGTAATTATTTCTCTTGTTTTCATTAAAAAATATGGGAAATGAGTAGCACCAAACATAACTGTGCAAACTTTTGGCTGATCTATAGAATAAATCTCGACTTTCTTACATCTGCGAAAGTAGTTTGTTAATCTGTAACCAGCCTTTCCTAATCAACGGCTAATTCAATGTAATTACAGGCATCAACATCAGAAAAAATACTAAATACTTCTTGAAAGTGACATAAAAAAATTTCCTCTCACGGACCAAAGTACGTGATTTAAAATACCTCAGTGTAAAATATTTTTTTTTATAAATGCGAAAAAATGTTTAAAGTTATAGCCTATAAAATGTTTTTCAGCCTCATTCCTTGCAGGCAATTTCAAAGAACAGGACAAAAACGATAATTAACGTTTTCACACTATGATTCCCCATTTATACAATGAATGTAAGTAAAGAACTTACTTTCACGAGTTTTAATTACGTCATAACTTTTTTCCCTGAAAGCTATTCTCAGAGAATTATTCTTAATGTATATATATATTTTTTTTCATAGCCTTTTGTTACAAGTATTACACCTGTAGGCCTCCTCAATTAAGAGGGTAATGGTCTAACTTCCCGCGGGGACCAGCCGTATTGGGAAGTGGATCCTTAATATAAAATACCTTAAATACGTGTGAGATTTTACATCATTTTAGAATGTATTTGGTAGTTTTTTTTTTTTAAGGGAAAACTTATTTAGGCTCTTTTTACACTTTTTTTGGAGAATGGATTAGATTGACCTGTCAGATTTCCGATGTGTTAACGCTCGGGTAAAGTCGGCTAGAGTCGACTAATTGAAATGTTTTTACAATTTGAATTAAAAGATCTCCGAAACTAAAAATCGGTCCTGCATACTATAAACGAGGAAATCGTTCAACATTTCATCCTCTCTGTAATAGGCTATAATTCAAACTTGTATCTTAAAGGGACTTCGCACAGTGGTTGAAAATGGGTCTTTTTAAAAAACAAAACAAAAAACTCTGGCAATACTGATCTATAAGTCACAGAAAAATAGTTTTGATACCATCATAATCATAGCTACATTTTCTATAAATTATCTACAGGTGCGCTCCGTTTAACCTGCTCCGGATTATCCGGCGGTAAAAGAGATGAATCAATTTTCTTTTCTCTAAGAATAAGATAGTTTCAGCTAACTAACTTATTGAAACAAATGAGATAGTTGTTTTTATTACAACCAATCTTGACCTGTGAACTTATACTAAGATAATTAATGGGGTAGCAAACTAATAAAGGGAAAATTAACAAGGTAACAGATATTGAAAATCTTGCTATTGTGTGAAAGAAGAGGGATTGTGTATTTTTTGTTTTTCAATAGCCCAGGCAGCACTCTTGTCAAAAATAAGTAAAAATAAAATAACAGGCCAAATGAAGACTATTTAATAGCAAACAATCGGTTATACATTAAAACTACATCATATATTCAAGAAAAGTAACAATACGCTGGTCTAATTAATTTAAACCCATCATATAGTAATATACATACATGGCGTAAATCAATTTTTGTAGACACTTTTAATTTAAATTTTTAGTTTCATTTTAATCGATCACTCCTCGATTCTGACCAAGACGGATAAGCGAGGTTGTATTGTGGTTTAAAAAGTTTTTATAGTTAAAGTAATAAATCAATTTATGAGATGTCTATACTTGAAAAAAAAATTAAATTGTTTATTAATTTTATATACGGAATAAAAGCAATAGCATGATTTTGCTAGGAGATGGAAGGTTGAGAAATTTAATTTTATGATTTTATTACGTGCAACCGAATACCGAAAATTCATTTCCTGAAATTATTTTTTAACAATTAATTTTTTTTTTCAAATTTGAATTAATTAAATATTTACTGACTTGTATATAAAATGATAAGAATGCTACGGAGTTCCTTATTTTTATCCGAAAAAAATCAATAGAATTTGAAGAAACATTTTTTAAAATTTAATTTTGATTTATATATTTTTTTAACATATAATTATATCTAAGGGAAAGATTTTTTAAAAAAATACAAAGGCATAGTAATTTATTTATCATAAAAGAAAAACCCGACATAGTTTTGGTTTTTAATGTGAATAAATAAAACCTAACCAATTCTTTTTTTAAAACAATTAATTTATATTTGTTAATTTATAGTCATTAGGGCTAAATGACTAATTTCAAATATAACGAAAAGATACATTAATTTATGTAGTACATAACTTAGCAAATTATTATACATGTTTATTTTAGGGTCGATATTTTTTTCATTTCAAATAGAAACTCGTTCAAAAATAAACTAATGAATTTAATTCAATTTCAACATTAAACTATGCTTAAATTACAGAAGCAGGTGTACTCAGTTGGAATCCATTTTAATATTTTTTAAGGATTCTAGTATTAATAAACAAATAGAT